GTGTCTTGGGTGGTTTGGTTGGCTTTGTCGTCGTCGTCGTCTGCAGAAGGAAGGGGTCGCCTCCGCAGTTGGATTCGTGAAATGGGCCCCGCTGAGGAGAGAGGTGGGCGGGGCTTTGGGGGGCGGAAGAGACTATATCAGACTCCGAGGCAACCCCATGGAGGGCCGATGGGCGTGTGCGCTTTGTTGTTATTGCTGTCTGTCTTCAAGTTGTTTCACACTTATGGTGACCCTCAGGCGAACCTATCACGGGGGTTTCTTGGCAAGTTTCTTTAGAGGGGGTTTGCCATTGCCATCCTCTGAGGCTGAGACAGTGTGACTTGCCCAAGGTCACCCAGTGGGTTTACCTGGCTGAGCCAAGATTCGAACCCTGATCATAGAGTTGGAAGGGACCCCAAGGGCCATCATAAACTTATCTTCAGGCTCATACAACTTGTCACAGGGGAATAGAATCCCAGAATCCTAGAATTGGAAGAGGTTCCAAGGGCCATCCAGTCTAACCCCTTGCTGCCATGCAGGAACTCCCAATCAAAGCACCCCCTGTGACAGATGGCCATTCAGCCTCTGTTTAAAGACCTCCAAAGAAGGAGACTCCACCACTCTCTGAGGGAGTGTCTTCCACTGTCGAACAGCTCTCACTGTCAGAAAGTTCCTCCTAATGTTGAGGTGGAATCTCTTTTCTTGCAGCTTGCATCCATTGTTTCTGGTCCTAGTCTCTGGAGCAGCAGAAAACAAGCTTGTTCCCTCCTCAATATGATATCTCTTCAAATACTTAAACATGGCTATCCTATCACCTCTTAACCATCTCTTCTCCAGCTCCATGATTACTTCTCATAGGGCTTTATGGTTTCCAGACCCTTCACCATTTTGGTCACCCTCCTCTGGACAGGCTTCAGCTTTTCAACATCCTCTGGTCTCCAGAGGCATGGTCCAGTTCTGAAACCACTAGACCACACTGCCTCATGTGTGCTTTACCCTGAGGTAAAGGAGTAGGATCAAAGAGTTGGAACCAAGCACTATTGAGTCTAACCCTGTGATGCAGATAACCCTGTAGATTCATCCCTGGCTGCATCTACACCAGGGGTAGGCAACCTGTGGCCCGGGGGCCGGATGCGCCCCCC